CAAGAACAATAAATAAATAAATAAATAAATAAAATTAAAGCAGTAATAACAACTATTAGCGAATACCAAGGCAAATATTGTAGAAACAAAAACCCCATTGGCACTCTTACGTCTCCTCGTCTCTCGGAGAAATCTTCGGCTTGGCAAAAGCACACATTACGGCCTCCACAATAGTCCGCAGTTTGGCCTCCGCGGCGTCCAACAACTGCCGCTGCGCATTCAACGTCGCCTGTGCCGCAACCAAAGCCCGCTGTAATGCTTCAACGTTGGGCTGCGGTTGCGTACTAGTCTCCGCCCCCGTTGTGGTGCCGATGGGGTCAGAATTGGCACCAGCGCTCTCTTCCGACTCCTTCTTCATTGCGCCGTCGCCTTCCTTCGCCTTCGTGGCCTTTTCAGCGGCCCTCAGAGCCTCTGTGGTGCGCCAAACCTCCCGCGCCGCGTCCATGGCGGCTGTAAATGCCGGGAGAAGAAAGTGATACACTGCGTGTTCCAAACCGAGAGGTTGTAGAGGGCCATCCACGAGCAACCGCTGCAGACGCACGATATCTTCCTCCTGTGGCAACTGTCTCGTTTCGCCCTCATCTGTCTCCTTGTCGCCCTCCCGGGCTCTCTTCTGCTGCCGCCGCACTAACACTGGGGCAGCCTCACCAACCAAAAATGGCGCCCTGTTGGCTGCTTCCAACAAGAACGTCTCGAATGTGCGCATTACAGCAGCCGCAGCTCCGCCTCCCTTTCCTCCTAGAAAGACACAGAGAAATAAAAATAAAAATAAAAATAAAAATAAAAATACCAGCCATAACAGTAAAAAATAAAAAAAAAACGCAAATAAACACAGCAATACTGGTAATGGTAAATAAATAATGGCACGGAAGCAAAAGAAAAAAAAAAAGCAATTAGCAATAGCAGCAACAAGATACAGCGAGCGATGCGGAGAAAGTAAAGCACACGACAACCCAAATGACAGAAGCTCAGAATAATAATAATAATAATAATAATAATAAAGAAAAAAAGAGCACCACCAGCCGAAAGTCCAACTAGTTAATAAGTCTTTATGCCACACCACACAGTTATCAAGGCGGTGCGTTAAGACTCACAATTTATATTCCAGTCAGAAAGCATAACCAAATCCGGAATCAGTCGTCGGTGCACGCAAAAAAATGTCATTTTGCAGTACACTTAAGTGTTCCATGGGAAACGGTACATTTAAGAGTACTGACTTCTTCCATGCCGTTGCATCCTCTGTACTTTCTGAAGACTGAGGCTGACGGGGAGACGGGCTACGATCACTTCTGCTGCTATTGCTGCCACCCGTTTTGCCGGCGCATTCTGTTGGCGGTGGTAGCGCCCCTGCCAGGCTAAAAATACTTTGTGCCCCCTGGATTGCGCCGTCTCTCTTCGAAGCAGGCCGCAAGAGTGCAAGAAGGAAGATACATGCGTTTCGAGTCATACGTTGGACAGCGGTTGCAGCCTCCTTCTGTAACACCAACGCATTATTGCATGAGAAGTTCGCTACTTTTTTTAGAACCGGTTCCAATTGCACTTTCACCAGCTTCTCTGTGCAGCGCAGTTCCACAGTATTCAGCAAGAGAACATCGCCATCGACCTCTGTTCTTGAGCACTCGTCCACCACCTCCTGAACAACACCGCGTTGCATACGGTCAATGAAAGCACGACGACGGGACAACTCGATCTCTCGCACAATGCGCAATGCAATCGTGGCGCCTCCATTGGCAGTGGTCACAACAAATAGTCGAGGTTCCCATTTTCCCAAGAGAACTGCTTGTGGTAGTGGTCTGTTAGTTCCAAATGTAAATGGGACAACGACAGTGTGATGAAACATCTCCAAAAGACCATTGGAGTCCACTGGAAGCTGCGAAAGAGAGTTTTTTTGGCCAATATTCTTCTGTGGCTGCCCGGTATTGTGAGGAAGAACCGGTAGGCATGAAAGAATAAGCGGCTGGTGCAGTATTCGTTGAATGGCGTCACGCTGCACTCCCGTACTCGCCTCGTCTTTTTTCGCGAGCATTAGCTTCACGTCTTTATGAGCAACGGGGACACTGTCAGCTAGAGCCTTTTCCATCACCTCCTTCTTGTCGTGTTCACCCAAAAGCTTCCACAGCATCCAACAGGTCCCCTCAAACACCTCATGGTGAATGTAGTAAATATTGCCGTTACTGCCCGATGCACTGCAGCCGGGTCCCGCCTGCTTAGAAACCGGTCTCGGCGTAAAGTCATGCACCGTCAAGTAGAAATTGTTAAAGGCGGAGAGCCCAGCGCGTTGCATGTGAACTGGCATCAGCGGATAAACAAACCAACCAGAGAGCGAGCAGACGCCAATGTCAGTGCTCTCCTCTAATACCGGCATTGTGGCAACGGAAAGGGAGAACTGCAGATGCCGACACCCACGCAAACGCAATTGGGCGCAGCAGCATACAATGACGCAGTGACGGCAACGCTCCACAAAGACAGAGCCACTTGTGGGTCCAATAAAGATAAAACAACGCTCGCACCCATGTAGGGATACACTATCGCAGTGGTCTAAAAGTAGAATGGCACAGTAAGAGTTCTCATGCACCGTGATGCGCTGGCCGCGGACCTCACCAGGCAATCGAAGAAACACAGAGTGTGGCGGCAAATTGGCCGCCTCAAATATTGGTGCCCTCTCCCGCAACCGCGCGGCTTCCTTCACCGCCTCCTCGCCGTATTTCCCGTTAAAAAACGAGGCTGACGCGGGGTCAAACAACAGAGGCGCCGCTTTCCACGAAAAGAAAAGACGTGCGTTGCCCACATTTCCATTGGCCTCATCGTTTTCACCCAGCGCGGCGGACGGTCTATTTTTTTCCTCACGTTTCCGCTGCGGCCTTCGCCTCCCGCGCGGCTTCTTCGAAGTGACGTCTTGCGCCGCATTCAGGCTGCTGGCACACGTGCCCATTGCGCCCCTCCCCCACTCCCCCTACCGGCGTTTTTCTCTTCCACCCACACCAAAAGGAAAAAAAAAAAAAAACACAAAAAAGTGATCCACGCAGTGGCCGGTTGTTTGGGCGGCAGGATGTGAGTGCCTGAACACCACAAACAGGCACACACACACACACACACACACACAAAAAAAAAAAGAAAAGTTAGGACAAAAACAAGCAACAAAGTCGGCAACTCGCATACAGCACAAAGTTCCCCCCACCAAAAAAAAAAAAAAAAAAAAAAAAGAACCACTGCAAAAAACACTACGATTCAGAGGGCCTAGTCGCTCCACCAAGCCACTCACAGCCTTCTTCATTCTTCCTTCAGCCCTTTCACTTCTTCTCAACTCAGACGATTCACTTCGTACTCACACACACACCTTTTATCCTTTTGTCCTTTCTTCACTACCGTACACCTTTCTGAACTTTTTCCAAGCTTACACCGCATTTTGCCTGCGGTGACATGATTTACTGTTGATGGTGGAGGTGGCGGCTCACCAGACTACATCAACGTGCAATATTTTTTCTTTTTGTATTTGGTACTAAATGGCACCGCGATCCCCGCTGCGGCGGCTCCAGGAAAACGGTGTGGCAACTGCTGTCGACGTGAGCCTGGCGCCATTGCCTCCGCCGTGCCTTCTCCATGCAAAAATTGACGATGCTTACAGAACAGCAGAAATTCATAAAGGTTAATATAATTTTTACTTGTCCTGGCAAAAGAACAAAAAATTTTTTGAGCCTCCGCTTCGGTTTTGGCGTAGCCATTGTTGAGGCACAAATTCCTAAAGTCTTTCCAATCCAGAAAACCACGTCCCTCAAGATCGTAACCACGAAACTGCAAGAGAGCCTCGTTGTATTCAAACCGTGATAATCCGCAAAGCGCCTGTGGATTGGGGCGATGTTTCCCCAGCCAGGCACATAAATCTTGTATCATGAGTCCTCCTGTCTCATCACAGCCCATCTCAAACAGCATGCGGTCAACATGTTCATCCCGGTTTACGTAATTCAAGGAAAAAGCAAGTTGCCTTAGCTGAGAACGTGTCAGGAAGCCTTTATTTTCTGTATCAAACACCATGAAAAGACTCACAATCTGATCGTATTCCATCTGCGTAAGACCATACTTTTTCCACTCTTTATCATTACTTGATACATGCCGATACGCAAATCCATTATTAGCCCGACTCATGTTACGCGCTTCGGGTGACAAATGCATTTCCCCCGAGTGACTCGACAATCTACTCCGGTGCTCGTCAGATTCGGACGTATGATTCGTGCTTGCAGGAACCTCCATTTTTTCCGATGGCGGCAGTGGATGGCACGTGTGATTCTGGCTCTGTTCACGTGTACCCTTCCAGTTGCACCGCGTGCACTGTACCTGAACTTCGAGTGCCTTGTTCACAAGAACTCGATTAGGACGTTCACTTTGCTCCACGGCACAACTGCAATTCGGGCATACAAGCGCCACTGGGCGCTCACTACCAGGCAAGCAAGACGACCCGACAGAGCGACACCAGTATTCACTAATACAAGACTCGCAAAAGATGTGGCCACATGGCCCCAGCTCTATCGGCCTGTCCCAAGAGTCCTTGCAAAGAAGACAAACAATCACCTCATCTACCTCTTGACTTTTTATGAACTGCCGGTATTGCGTCATCTAAAGGCAAAAACACCCATAAAATATGTCCCCAGTCACCAGGAAAAGTCCTAAAAACGACAACGACGACAACAACAACACCAAAAACACGGCAAGATAAATGGAATAAGAGTCACAAAAAGTCTTCTAAAGAAGAAGGTGGAAGAAAGAGATGAACAAAGGGTTAAAAGAAAAATTAAAAAAAAAAAAAACGGAAATTGCTCCACGCGAAGATGTACACATGCAACTTTCTCCGCGCACACAATGTCTACCAGTTATCTGTGCACCTGTACGAAGCAAGCGCACCACCAGTCCCCAGCACTCCCTTCAATTTCCTTATCGTTTATTTACATTTCACCTCTGGCAGAATTCTTTTTCACATGCCATCCCCTCCCCCGCTTTCTCCCTTCTCAGGGACGAAGAAGACTGCAGCACGCATCCATCACCTCGTGTATTTTAGGATAACTGGGATGCACCTCCAGTACTTTGCGGCACACATCAATTGCCGAGACTATCTTTCCCGACTTCATCCGATGAAATGCCAGTTTGTACCCCACCGATGGGTCACGCTCCTTCGTAAGTTTCCAGGCATTCTCGTAGCACTCGGCAGCCTCGTCATGACTCATCCCAATTTCGTGTACGGAACCCATCATAAGCCAAGTCTGAGGGCAACTCTTGTTGACCTCAATGTTCTTTTGTAGAATACCCTGCGCCATCTTGAGATCTTCTCTGAGGATGCTCATGTGTGCAGCAAGCAGGCGAGCACGGTGAACAGCATCGATTGTGATGGGGTCAAACGGCATGTATACAATCCGCTTGAGTTCAGCGGCCGCCTTCTTCTCAAGACCCGCGATGAAGTACGCTATGGCCAAACCAACACGGACAGGAACATTCAGCCGGCCAGAAGCCTGTGGTGGTCGGTTGGCATCACTCAGCAGTCGTTCATCCTCGTCTTTCTCCTCTTCCTTGGCATCCTTTTCATCATTGAATGACCTTTGGTGCTGTTGCATCGTCTCACTCGTGGCGCAAATTTGCTTAAACTCCTTTATAGCCCGCTCCACCAAAGATCGCTTTTTGCTTGCCATCCAGCAATAACCCTGAAGAATATCCCTCGACTCCCCGTCGGGCATTTGAAGCAACAACCGCTCCGCAATCCTAACATTTTCGTTCTTATCCTCATCTCGCAGAACGGTGTCAACCCACAGCTCCTCGTTGGATGAAAAGAGGTACATCTCAATCATGTTCGTCAATGCGGGTATACTCCACGGGGAGTCATCGACAGGAAGCCGTGCAGCATTAAAGGCTCGGAGGGCCTCTAGATTCTCGTAGCAATAACGATGGTACAACCCTCGCGCAAAGCTCAATCCTGATGGATGTCGCTGACCCAGCGGCACGAGCTCTTCCACTCGTTCAAGTACCTTCTCTGCGTCACCAAGGCGTCCGGCATGGCGCAGCAACCGCACATATTGCGCCAACGCCTTGTAGTTGTCCGGGGTTTTATCCAAAATTTGACTAAAGTGTTGGGCCGCATCATCAAAACGGTGCTGGCGAATCATGACATCTGCAAGTATTACAACCGCCTCCTCGGACTTGGGGCTAATACGAAGAACGGCATTGCATTGCTCCTCACATGCGGTTGCGTCGCCACCATCAAGAAGTAACCGTGCAATTGCCAGTAGAACTTCTTCGTTTGATTCATCGTACATCCTCGCCTCTTGGTAAAATTCCTTTGCACGTTGTGCGTCGCCGATAGAAGCATAATATCCGCCCAGTTCAAGCGCAATGGTTGCAGCGACAATCTTCTGCTGATAAATCGTCTCCTGCGTCTCACTGCGCATCATGTGGTGCAAAACATGCTCCTGAAAACCGCGCGCTCGAAGCAGTGCTTCAGTCGCAGCATCTGACTTCTGGGAGTCTCGGTAAATCTTGCACATGAGCAGTGTACAGTTGACGCGCTCAATAGCACGCTCGACAGTTTCCCCAACATCCGGTTCACTCTGATGCGCCGGAGCCTCTGTCAGCAACGAAATGGCGTGATCTGGGGCACCGAGGCGCCAATAGAGCGTCGCAAGATCGGCAAGAACAGTAAAATTTACCCCGTCTGAAGCAACCGCGTCACGGTAGTAGCGAACGGCACGTTGATAGTCATGCGTTGACACAAGTGCGCGCCCGATACGGACGGCCAACTCGGCGTTTTCTGGGTCCATCGCTTTTGCTCTCTCGTAGGCAGCAATGGCTTTCTCTGGCTCCTGTATGTTTGTGTACGCCTCACCCAATTGAAAATAACTTTGAGCAGTCGGAACCTCCTCGACAAGTTCTTCAAAGCAGTTAGCGTACATGTGGCGGTTCTGACGATATGTGAGATAAAGGTTTGCCATGCGTGTTTTGGCAGCGGTAAAAAACTCACTACGAGGCGGCACCTGTTTCAGTATCTCAACGGCTTTATCCATATCTGTGCGTGCGGCAATCATCGCGTTCGCAATCGCAACACGCCCAGCCTGAGTTGTCTCCTTAAACATGGCCGTTGCCTCGACCAATGTAGCACGTGCTTCTTCTGTATCACGCAATCTGAGATAGGTTTGCGCTAATTGCAAATACAGACTGACGTGATCCTGCAAACTCAGCGGTTGCAACGGTCGTCCCTTGGTAGTTACTCGTGACTTCTCCTTCGTGAGTTTTAATGCCAGTTGAAGAGCCTCTAACGCATTCTGGTACTTGTTCATCATCCCAAGCACAATACCATGTAATAAATTGTACTGCGGCTGGTCCTTCATGTCAAAATCCAAAGTCAGTGCCTGTTCCAACGCCTGAGAGGCTAGTGATGCATTGCCAATATACTGACAAATCTGTGCGGAAAGAAGAAATGCCTCTGGAAGCACATGTACATGTCGAATACTTTTAGTGATCATTGTCTGTGCTCTATTCAAGTCGCCAGAAACAAAGTAGATCCGAGAGAGGAGAAGCTGCGCCTCCAGGCAACCAGGAACATGCCGCAGCAGCAACTCAAGATGCCGCCTACACTTCTCGGCAATTGGGTCTGCCTTAGGTACTGTTGGGTCTGGCGGCTCCGTGCGGCAGTGCTGCATGTATTCCTTTGCAATATCTAGCATCAATGGGGGATTAAGTCTGATGTACAGTTCCATCCCGGTCTGATATGTCCCTACATCTTGTCTAATGGCCTCTGCAGCTTGATCAAGAAAAACAAGGGTCTTTGCATGGTTTTTATGCCGCCGCCACTGCAAGATGGCGTTGAGTAGGCTCAGCTCCGCGTTGCGCTGATTCGGTGCCTGAATCTCGTTTGGGAATTCAATCTGTTTTGCGGCTTCGTCAAGGTCGCCAGTAAGAATAAGGCAGCGAATCAGGCCCAGTAGAGGTGTTATGCTGCTGTCGGGCGTTGCAGAAGCCTTTTTAAAGGTTGCAATTGCCGCCTTGTATTCACCACGAAGCGTCTGCTGGTAGCCCAATTCTGCAAAGTAGTCACCTCTTTGTGACGCCATGCGGTGGGCAACCTCCGCAAACTGCGTGGTGACGCCTAACAGTGGCAGGTAATTCCCGCTAAGACGAGAGAAACACCGTGCGTACTCAAAAAAGAGCGCCGCATTCTTCGGTTCCTTTTCCTTTACCGCCTCAAAAAGCCGAGGTAGCTGTGCAGCGGCGTCCTCATAACGGGCATCCTTCACGAGAAGAAACAGTGTATTGAGCGCCAAAGCCTCGAGGTTTGTCTTCTCCTTTGCAAGAATACGCTTTGTTGTCTCCCAGCACTGATCCCAGTCCTCCGCCTTCATGAGGTGTCGCGCCTTCACTACAAGGGCTGGGGTGAAGTTCGGGCGACTCACAATAAGCTTGTTTAGCAGTTGTTGTGCAAGAAAAAACTGGAATTTGCGCTCATAAAACACAACACGACCCATTGCGGCATCCAAGTCCATCGTTTGCCCGTCCTGATCCTCCATCTCCATGACTTTCCGAAGAAGCGCACCGCTCTTCTCCAAAAAGGCACCACGGCCTGTGCTGAGGTCCACCCAGGCTCGCACCGTCGCGAGGTTTGTATACTCATCACGGTGCTCATCAAAGCCATCCTGAAAGCGCATAAGAATGTCACGTGCTCCGCTGGTGTCACCAGCAGCCCACGCAAGCGCAGCCGCCTGTACCCATCCGTCCACATCATTTGCGTGAGAACTGTCACCCAAGGAACGTTCTACCAAAGAAAGTCCCTCCGTATCCTTGTTCCTGCGGTATATGAGCGCAATCCCCATCAACGCAGGAATATTGGTTTCCCGACGCTGTTCCGCGGCCTTATACTCACGCAATGCCTCGTTCGATTGACCCTGCTGGTCGTAGCACAGCGCACGCCAAACACGCAAGACCCAACTGTCAGTGCTCTTAATGGTCTCGGTGCAGACAAGCTCCGCGTGGCGCCACAGCCTCTCTCGCACGTAGAACATCATAAGTGCATAGTTATTTCGGAGTAAAGACGACATCGCACAGGCCTCGACTCCACTCTTCTTTTCTCTATCTTCTTTTTTTCCCCAGTGCCTTGCGACAGCGTTCCCACTCGGTCAAGGGAACAGTTGTTGTTCCTCACAATCAATGATGGAGAAATATCTATTCGCAACCTCTCCGTGCGTTTTTGTGTGCGCGTGCAATATATATATATATACTCGCCCCTTCCTTCCCTTGCGGCGCTACGCGGCTTGTAGAGCCAAGCGTCGATACAACTTTTGAGGGAGCAAGAAGAGAAGATGATGGCGTGCGCAGCAGAAATTGGCTCAAAATGACAAAGTTAAGGTGAAAAAAAAAAAAAAAAGCGCACCTGCAGCGACGGCACAGACGCACACCATCTTTTTTTGGCTCCACTTTTGGCCACGTGATAAGGCCGTCTTTCCACGTAAGGAGAGCAAATGACAAAGAAAGAGAGCGGAAAGCAACCAAAAGAAAGAAACAGCTGCCTGCTCTCGCCCTCTCAAGCCCACCTTCCCGTAAAGGTAGTGCAAAGCGGTAAAAAAAAAAAAAAAAAAAAAACGTCTGCAACGTCAAACAAGACAAACAAAAAACGCCATGGTGGCAAAAACACGTTCGAAACAAAAGAAAAGGGAACAAAAGACAAAAAGTAAAAAGGGGGTGGGAAGCGGTGCATTCACATTATGCGTACACTACCCTGAAGACAAAAATACGTCAACACAACCCCTTTCTACCAGTCCCAACGTAGTACCTACAGAAACACACAAAGAAACACAAAAAAAAAACTCATTGTCACGCACACGCACTCTCTCTCTCCTCCCATATATATATATATATATATGTATACCACAAACACGACTATCCTTTTGTTGGCGGTTTTGGTCTACTGAAGATTAGCGTCATTTTTGGCTCTTCTATCCCCGTTTTCCTTCCGCGGGATCGAGTTGGTCTCCTTTGTCTTCCCTGAGTCAATGCCACTTTCTCCCTGCCCACCAGCACGGCGGGGTGCTGGGATGGATATCATCGATGTGGAGGAACTCACGGTCGCAGTGGCCGCAGAGGATTTTACGGGCAGTTTGGCGGCGTCGTTTTTGGCGTTTTTCCCTGAACCCTCCCTATGGGAGCTTTGTGCCGTCCCTTTTGCCGCGGAAGGCAATAGCGGTGGTCGTTGCGATTGTTGCTTCTGTACTTCTTCTTGTTGCTTTGGTTTCTGCTGCTGCTTCTCTCGTTCTTGTGGCGATGGCGGTGACGGCGGCAGTGGCGGCGGGGCTACTAGACTCCAGCCGAGCTGCTGGGATTCCGCCTCCAGCAACTCTTGCTCAGTTTGGACAACAGTGACTCTTCGTGTGATGCACATCCACTCCGCCACGGATGCTGGTGCCACAAGCACTATAGGATGATAAAGCTCCACATACTGCTGATCCCCCATACGCGCCTTGTCTCCTGCAAAGCAGCGATACTCCTGGAAAATCGACACAAGCGACCACCCCTGCAATAATCGCAAGCAGGCCACTACGGCCCCCGTTCGGTGTTTCCCTTTGTTACAGTGAATAAGGATGGGGTGCGTACGGGTATCAACGAGAGCACTAAGAATGCGGTGCATCAGCGGCTCCGATATGTCCATAAATGGCTCCTTGTTTCCCTCCGTAGCAAAGCGAAGGATACGGATGTCATTTTCCTCACAAAACTTGACGTTGCTCTCTGCATATTCCTCTGGGCAGAGGTAAAGAATTGTACGAAGCCGAAGTGCACGAAGAAAACGGAAATTCTTCCTTGTCGGGTACCCGGAGCGGTAAACGCCGGGACATACCATAGCGAAATTGATGGACGGCACAAGTGGCTCCTGGATCGTAGACGGCATTTGACGGGGCGCCAACACCGATGACGAAGACAACGGTGCTGTCATAAAGCAACACCACTAAGTTTTCTGCACACTAAAAACCCTTTTGATGATTTTTGACACCCCCCCCCCCCCCCCACAAATGTTGGGAAAACGATAACCGCGGTGAGTGGGGAAAAAATTCCCTCGCTCACAATTCGCTGAACCGCAGCACAGAAAAGAATATCCCCCACTCTCCTTCACACAGCGCTGCTACAGGAAAAGTAAAGGTGAGGTGATTTGAGTGTTGTGCCTGTGCCGCGCCGCCAACTCTACTGTGCAGCAAAAGGAGTTTCTTATCACCCCCGCCTCTCACGCCAGCGTTCTTGCTGCTCCCTCCCCAACGGTTCGCGCACTCCCAGCAAAAACGTTTAAAAAAATTTATTCCCCGCCACCCATGAACACACACAAAAGAAAAAAAAAAAAAAAAGGAAAGATAAGGAGAAAGTGTAAAACCAATAACAGCATGCAATGCAAAGCCCATAAAAAGTCAGTGAGTAAAACGGAGCCACAATGCAGAAAATCATTTAAATGAAATACTTAAGTACGATACATAAAAACGGAGAAACCCAATTCACAGAAAAGTGAGACCTCACCAAATTGAAACAGACCTCGGAGTCCTTAAAGCAGATGGCAACCGTCGTTCCGATTGTGCCCCATCCAAAACACGCGGCTGTGAAGGGAGTGAGGTGCTAACATACCTCCTCCCGTCCGCATGCCAGAATGCACGTCTACCTTCAGAACCATTCTTTTGCTTAACTTTTCGTGCTTCAAGAGTGTCAGGTTGGTTATCCGACATGCAAACGGCTTGCTCGTAATTTGATGGCGATGCGAGTTGCCCCGCAAACTGCCTTCCCACCTCATCTGGAATGCGTGCAGCTGGTGAAAAACGGTCGAGCGGAGCAAAACTCGGAGGACGAAGTTGTATGGGAGTTGGCTCAATGTACTGAGGAACGGAAGCAGCGGAAGAACGAGTTTTTGGAGTACGGGCATGTAAGGACGGAATGCGTGGTGAATGAGGACTCCCAGCGGGCTGCATTGGGAAAGACGCCGTAAACGGCGAAGACAACAAAGGTGGGGATTGTCCCAAGTCGATCCGGGACAGCAGCGCACGGCGATCAGAGGCAAACAAACGTTCCACCTCATCGATGGCTGTAAGGTCAGCTTTGTCCACTCGAACCTGTTTGGGACAGGAAAGATTGCGCATAAAACTGGCGACTCCATCACCATCATAATCACAATCAACGTCTTCCGTCACACATATGTGCTGCCGCACGGAGTTCAAATCAAGCCCGGCCGCAGCCGCAAGGCGCTGCGTGTGTCCGTCAAGAAGAAGGGCTGGGCACGTAAAAAAAACACGATACAAAAGCGCGTAAAGTTTTTGGCTACTCGCCCCCTTTTCAGTCTGCTGCTTCTCGATGCCATGGCAGGATAAACTCGGAGCACTCCGCGCCAGTGCTCCACCCAAAGGGTCAAACTGAAAGAGGGCAATGTTTAAAGCTTCGCTTCGCTCCTGCGAAGCACTCTCACGCCTGGTACGGCGCCAAGAACGACAAAGCGCAGATCTCCATTCAATCCAGGCCTCTTCATCACGGTACTGCGCTTGACGCCAAGCCCTCGTCCAAAGCCGCGCTGTCTCTTTTTCTGAAGATGACCTGGGTGACGCTTCCTTAGAACGTTTACTTTTCCACTCTTTTGCCAAAGATCGGCAAAGAAATTCGTGCACCACTTTCTCAAGAGCCAAAAGCAAATGTATAAAGAGATCGTCCAGAATAACGTGTTCCTCACAATAGCAAGATGGAATATCGTTCCCATTACCGCTTACTGCAACATCTGGGTTGGTAGCACCGTACGAAGCTTCACTTCCAGAAGAAGCAATGCCCCGTAGCAGCCGAAGCAATTTCTCGCGGATGATAAAAGGACTATTTGGAGTTTCACCAGCCCCACTTCTCGAGGTACAACCATCGCCCTGGTCGTGCGGCAAAGAAGCACCTGACCTCTCTCTTATAGGATGCTGCTCTCCATCTGACCCACCCTCGTGCGACAAGAAAGTCATCCCGCCGGCGGTGCATTCGTTGCTGCCCATAGCCGTTAGCCCGCTTGCCTTCAACGGAGAACATTCACATATGGAATTACCATCCAAATCCACTGCCGAAAAAACACCGGGTACAACACATTCACTTGGCTTTTCCAACGCTGCCACTAATGGAGTTGGCGGTTCTTGCTTCACAGAAAACGGTGGCGGCGGCGATGCTTCCTTGGCTGGCAGTGGCAGCGGCGGCGGTAACATGATTTTGTTCTCCAACGTCTTTCCTTATCTCCCAAAAAAAAAAAAAAGAAAAGAAAAAAAAGGAAAGAAAGAGGGAAAAGCCTTTAAAAAGAAAAATACAGCAGAAATTGCGAGTATAAAAAAAAGAAATGTGGTACATGAGAACACAAAAGATTAAAAGGCAGATACGTTGACCTCACCAAAAAAAAAAAATGGCAAAATAGGATACAACAATCCGCATCAATATCAGGTGTGATTCCTTGGATACTGAGAAGGATAAATGAAAAGCGCCTAAACGCACATGCCCATGCAGTACTTCACTGAAAAAACTCCTCCAGCTGCTTAAAGGCATTAGCAGACTCCGATGAGGAATGGGAATGCGTTGTAGCAAAAGAAAAAAAATCATCCATGAAATTACCAGCAGCACCAGCAGATCCTTGGTAACTCCGTAGATCAGATGAGCCCCCCATTGCAGCTGTGGCATTCCCTAATTGCTTATTAAAAGAAAGGGTATCAGGAGCGGGCGGAAGCTCCACTGCACGCGTGACAAGATCCATCGAAAAGGGGAGAGGCTGTGCTTGAAAAACAACGCCCCCGCAGTTGGTCTCGTTATTGCATGCAAAAAGTAAAGATGGCTGTTGCTGTTGCTGCTGCTGTGGTTCTGGCGACGGTGATGATATTTGCTCTGGCATGCTAAGCAGAGTCAGTCGCTTGGATTCAAGGACCGACCAAACGCCCGAGTCTGCTGCAAACAGCTGTCCAAACTCCAAAAACCTTTTTAGTTCATCCACAGATGGCCCCGACGCCGTGCCGCCACGCCCTCCTGTTGTATACATCGAATCCGTTCTTGAGTCCAGAAGTGTGTGGTAGCG